CTATACACGTCAATGACACAGGTCTATAGTTTAGTGCCTCTTTTCTGTCTCCTTTTTTAAAAATGGGAACTACATTTGCCGTCTTCCATACCTCAGGTAGTTGCCCAGTTTCCAGGGACGTGTTGAAGATTGTGGTAAGTGGCACGCACAACATATCTGCTCCCTCTCTAAGGACTCACGGGGAGATGTTGTCCGGTCCCATTGCCTTTGAGGTATCGATGTCCCTTAGCAGTTTCTTCACCTCCTCCTCATCTGTATGTATGTCATCCAACACTTGTTGGTGTATTCCTTGCTGTGTCCCCATCTGGTCTGTCTCCAAGAGTCCTTCCTGTCTCTACTGTAAATACTTCCTTAAATCTCGTGTTGAGCTCCTCACATACCTCTTGATCGTTTCTTGTGAGTTCTCCACCTTCTTTCCTCAGCCTTATCACCTGGTCCTTGACTGTTGTCTTCCTCTAATGTGGCTATACAGCAGTTTCGGGTCAGATTTGACTTTCGATGCTATGTCGTTTTCATACTGTCGCTGGGCCTCCCTCCTTATCTGTGCATACTCGTTTCTGGCTCTTCTACTAATCTCCTTGTTTTCCTGGGTCCTATGCCTCCTGTACCTTTTCCATTCTCTGTTGCACTTAGTTTTTGCCTCCCTACACCTTCGGGTAAACCAAGGAAACTCGTTTTGGTCTTCCTATTATTTCTGTTTCCCTTGGGAACAAAACTTTCCTCTGCCTCCTTGCACTTTGTTGCCACATATTCCATCATCTCGTTTACTGATTTTCCTACCATTTCTCTGTCCCACTGAACCTCCTGCAGGAAGTTTCTCATACCTGTGTAGTCCCCCCTTTTATAGTTTGGCCTGTCCCATTCAGTTCCTGTTACCTTCTCCACTTGTAACTCTACTATATAGTCAAAACTCAGAACCACGTGATCGCTAGCTCCAAGGGGCCTCTCGTAAGTGATGTCCTCAATGTCTGAACTGCTCAGGGTGAACACAAGATCCAGTCTTGCTGGTTCATCCTCCCCTCTCTCTCTGGTTGTGTCCCTGACATGTTGATGCATGAGGTTTTCAAGTACCACATCCATCATCTTGGCTCTCCATGTTTCGGGACCCCCATGAGGCTCCAGGTTTTCCCAGTCGATCTCCCTGTGGTTGAAATCGCCCATTACCAGTAACTTTGCTCTGCTCGAGTGAGCTCTTCTTGCCACCTCAGCCAGTGTGTCCACCATCACCCTGTTGTTTTCTTCGTACTCCTCTCTTGGCCTCCTGCAGTTCTGTGGTGGGTTATACATCACTCCAATGACTACTTTATGTTCTCCGGACTGAATTGTGTGAATTGTGTGTGTGTGTGTGTGTGTGTGTGTGTGTGTGTGTGTGTGTGTGTGTGTGTGTATTTACTCACAAAAACTGCTCACTACACAAAATAAATGTCACTACAACAATACAAGGGGAAAGATTAGGAGAGGAAAGAAACAAAACAAATTCCTTCTTGACTCCTATAGTAATATTTTGTTTTTCATGAGATAAAACATAAATATGTGGCAATGTTCCATAACTGAAAGTTAGTGCCATTGAAAGTTAGGGCCATTGAGAGTTAGTGCCACTGAAATTTAGGGCCATTGAAAGTTAGGGCCATTGAAAGTTAGTGCCATTGAAAGTTAGGGCCATTGAGAGTTAGTGCCATTGAAAGTTAGTGCCATTGAAAGTTAGTGCCATTGAAAGTTAGGGCCATTGAGAGTTAGTGCCATTAAAAGTTAGGGCCATTGAAAGTTAGTGCCATTGAAAGTTAGGGCCATTGAGAGTTAGTGCCATTGAAAGTTAGTGCCATTGAAAGTTAGTGCCATTGAAAGTTAGGGCCATTGAGAGTTAGTGCCATTGAAAGTTAGTGCCATTGAAAGTTAGTGCCATTGAAAGTTAGGGCCATTGAGAGTTAGTGCCATTGAAAGTTAGTGCCATTGAAAGTTAGTGCCATTGAAAGTTAGGGCCATTGAGAGTTAGTGCCATTGAAAGTTAGTGCCATTGAAAGTTAGGGCCATTGAGAGTTAGTGCCGCTGAAATTTAGTGCCATTGAAAGTTAGTGCCATTGAAAGTTAGTGCCACTGAAAACTAATGTCATTTGCTAAACAGTCATTTTGATGCTATCTTCTAACTTGTTGATGTGAAAACTCTAGATTTCATTTCAAACTTTAAATATGTGTAGCTGTACCTCGTGTGTGTGACCTCTGGGGAGGTGACCTCTCACGTGAGGAACTGCTGTACCTCGTGTGTGTGACCTCTGGGGAGGTGACCTCTCACGTGAGGAACTGCTGTACCTCGTGTGTGTGACCTCTGGGGAGGTGACCTCTCACGTGAGGAACTGCTGTACCTCGTGTGTGTGACCTCTGGGGAGGTGACCTCTCCCGTGATGAACTGCTGTACCTCGTGTGTATGACCTCTGGGGAGGTGACCTCTCCCGTGATGAACTGCTGTACCTCGTGTGTGTGACCTCTGGGGAGGTGACCTCTCACGTGAGGAACTGCTGTACCTCGTGTGTGTGACCTCTGGGGAGGTGACCTCTCCCGTGATGAACTGCTGTACCTCGTGTGTATGACCTCTGGGGAGGTGACCTCTCCCGTGATGAACTGCTGTACCTCGTGTATGTGACCTCTGGGGAGGTGACCTCTCCCGTGATCAACTGCTGTACCTCGTGTGTGTGACCTCTGGGGAGGTGACCTCTCACGTGAGGAACTGCTGTACCTCGTGTGTATGACCTCTGGGGAGGTGACCTCTCACGTGAGGAACTGCTGTACCTCGTGTGTATGACCTCTGGGGAGGTGACCTCTCACGTGAGGAACTGCTGTACCTCGTGTGTGTGACCTCTGGGGAGGTGACCTCTCCCGTGATGAACTGCTGTACCTCGTGTGTGTGACCTCTGGGGAGGTGACCTCTCACGTGATGAACTGCTGTACCTCGTGTGTATGACCTCTGGGGAGGTGACCTCTCCCGTGATGAACTGCTGTACCTCGTGTGTGTGACCTCTGGGGAGGTGACCTCTCCCGTGATGAACTGCTGTACCTCGTGTGTGTGACCTCTGGGGAGGTGACCTCTCACGTGATGAACTGCTGTACCTCGTGTGTATGACCTCTGGGGAGGTGACCTCTCCCGTGATGAACTGCTGTACCTCGTGTGTGTGACCTCTGGGGAGGTGACCTCTCACGTGAGGAACTGCTGTACCTCGTGTGTGTGACCTCTGGGAGGTGACCTCTCACGTGAGAACTGCTGTACCTCGTGTGTGTGACCTCTGGGGAGGTGACCTCTCACGTGAGGAACTGCTGTACCTCGTGTGTGTGACCTCTGGGGAGGTGACCTCTCACGTGAGGAACTGCTGTACCTCGTGTGTGTGACCTCTGGGGAGGTGACCTCTCACGTGAGGAACTGCTGTACCTCGTGTGTGTGACCTCTGGGGAGGTGACCTCTCACGTGAGGAACTGCTGTACCTCGTGTGTGTGACCTCTGGGGAGGTGACCTCTCACGTGAGGAACTGCTGTACCTCGTGTGTGTGACCTCTGGGGAGGTGACCTCTCACGTGAGGAACTGCTGTACCTCGTGTGTGTGACCTCTGGGGAGGTGACCTCTCACGTGAGGAACTGCTGTACCTCGTGTGTATGACCTCTGGGGAGGTGACCTCTCACGTGAGGAACTGCTGTACCTCGTGTGTGTGACCTCTGGGGAGGTGACCTCTCACGTGAGGAACTGCTGTACCTCGTGTGTGTGACCTCTGGGGAGGTGACCTCTCACGTGATGAACTGCTGTACCTCGTGTGTGTGACCTCTGGGGAGGTGACCTCTCCCGTGATGAACTGCTGTACCTCGTGTGTGTGACCTCTGGGGAGGTGACCTCTCACGTGAGGAACTGCTGTACCTCGTGTGTGTGACCTCTGGGGAGGTGACCTCTCACGTGATGAACTGCTGTACCTCGTGTGTGCGACCTCTGGGGAGGTGACCTCTCCCGTGATGAACTGCTGTACCTCGTGTGTGCGACCTCTAGGGATGTGACCTCTCACGTGAGGAACTGCTGTACCTCGTGTGTGTGACCTCTGGGGAGGTGACCTCTCTCCTGAGGAACTGCTGTACCTCGTGTGTGTGACCTCTGGGGAGGTGACCTCTCACGTGAGGAACTGCTGTACCTCGTGTGTATGACCTCTGGGGAGGTGACCTCTCACGTGAGGAACTGCTGTACCTCGTGTGTGTGACCTCTGGGGAGGTGACCTCTCACGTGAGGAACTGCTGTCCCTCGTGTGAATGACCTCTGTGGAGGTGACCTCTCAAGTGAGGAACTGCTGTCCCTCGTGTGTATGACCTCTGGGGAGGTGACCTCTCCCGTGAAAAACTGCTGTCCCTCGTGTGTATGACCTCTGGGGAGGTGACCTCTCACGTGAGGAACTGCTGTACCTCGTGTGTATGACCTCTGGGGAGGTGACCTCTCAAGTGAGGAACTGCTGTCCCTCGTGTGTATGACCTCTGGGGAGGTGACCTCTCCCGTGAGGAACTGCTGTACCTCGTGTGTATGACCTCTGGGGAGGTGACCTCTCCCGTGAGGAACTGCTGTACCTCGTGTGTATGACCTCTGTGGAGGTGACCTCTCAAGTGAGGAACTGCTGTCCCTCGTGTGTATGACCTCTGTGGAGGTGACCTCTCCCGTGAGGAACTGCTATGTTACTTATACCCATGTTCAGCTTTTAACACTATTAAATAATTGTGTAGTTACAAGACCATAACGGGAGTGGCTATATTTGCTTGCTGGTGACCTCAACGATAATAATATTTATGTTGCTTAGAGCAGTCTCAAAATTAACCTTTATAATACTAATGTATATTAATGGTAGTATTACTAATAACAACAGTAAGGACATTACTAGTAAGACTACCAGAGATTGGTGGTCCGTGTGCATGGTTACTAGGAGGTAGGCTGTGACTGGGCGTGTCGGAGTAACAGCATGGTAAGCATGGATGCTCTTCTCTTACAGAGCTCGACAAAGCCGCCTCGTGTCGCAGGTATGCCTCTCTCAGGTGCAATACTTGCATGTCTCAGCCCACTCTCAACACTGTCACATCCCACTCACGCCCACACTCACGCCCACACTCACTCCCACACTCAATGCATGACGTCTTCTACCAAAACAGGAAACCCTTCCAAATCCATCTTCTAGGATTCGTTACTCCAGACACTCGCAGCTTGGACACCACATCCGGAGATAATACAAGAATCAGCAGCAGCGAATGCAAAGACTGCAAGGTGATCAGAAGAAACCACAGAGTCTCCTGTTTTGAGTGTCAGACCGCCAAGAACACCAAACGGAACACCTTCCTTGGAGCAAGTGAAGCGCTGGTTGCTGGAGGGAGACACAATGGAGACCTCGCTCTGCAGGGACTAGATCAATCTTCCCAGGAAGCCTTCGTTGACCACTGCACTGAACCATCTCTTACCATAAATTCAATGTCATCGAAAGATGATACACAAGACTTTACTCTACATAACCAATCTAATGGAACCAAACGTAGTTCTTCTATCTCCTCCCTACACGAAGTAAATGATACAGTTAATAAAACCCATATACAGTTAAATGAATCTCTTTACATACCTGCATCACAGACTCCTGACATCCTCGAAATAAAGAAAGAGGGTGATGCTCTTGAGCTAACTCTTGAGATCAGCGAATTGCATACAACCAACTTGACTCACGATCAAGACCAAACTACGAATCATAGCCACAGTCAGCACCTTACTACAGAAATAGACCTGTGTCAGCAACAAGCGTCATATGGCCACCAGGGAGAGATACCGGAAAACCGTGAGAAAATCGAGGAGAGTGACCCAAAAGTAACACCATCGTTGTGCAACTCTTCACTCCAGCACTCTGGCCAGAGCACCCAAAACCTCCCCAATAGCGCTCCAGAAAAATCATATACCGCCTCTCTATTGGATCAAGAAAACGTTTTGCCATCCCCTAAGGAAAGACCGGAGGTCGATTTAATGCAAAAACACACAGACTCCTCACACATACACAAACATTACACTGACATCTATACCCCAACTCACAGCCATGCCTCTTTCCGAGGGGCAGACCAAGGTGAGGCGACCTCGCAGCTCCCACACGACACCACACCCTTTCTTAACGACGAGGCTGAGATAGAGTGCATCTTGAGGCAGACGCTTTCCTCCTCCTCCTCCTCCGTGGAGCTCTTGGATGAGGTGAACCGCGGGATCTACGAGAAGCACGCCTCCTGGGCTCCCTGGAACCCGACCAACACCTTCACCAGATTAGTGCATGATAAACCTGTGTGCCTTAACTAGGTGTGCATGATATGTGTTCATCCTGCATGTGAGTAGTGTTACTAATAGAACCACTTAATGACTGCCTTTCTCTCCACTCCCAAGGAAAGCAGTGAAATATAGTTTTTCATTTTATTACACAGATTAGGTAAATTTTGTTATATTTTATTTCACGTAAATTTTTGCAAGATTAAATAAATTCCAAAAATTTAGGCATCTTTATTTCACTTTTTTTTTTTGAGGGAAGAGCCAGTCTTTGGGTGATCCCTGTGTCTGACCTCGTCTTTACATGTAGTTTTATTTTCTTGCTAACACGCTTGTGACACAAGAGAACATGATCCATCTGTGTGAGCTTGTACCAGTGCATGCCAGCGTGTGGAACAAAAAACATAGTTTGAAAAAAAGAGCTTCAATTGGAACAACTTTGTGTGTGCTCTATGTAGAGTTTTGTGAGTCATATGCCATGATAAAGCTCTACACAGAGCACCAGCGCTGTCCCTTCAAAGAGTTTATACTGCTGCTTGTAACTTTAACTTATCAGTGTCTTGAGTCCACTGCATGACATACTGACAGTAAGTCCATGAGTCCACTGCATGACATACTGACAGTAAGTCCAACTGTTGATTCATGTAACTTATCATTTATGAATCAAAACAATAAAATAATTAACAAAAAATAAATTTATATAATATGATACACATTTGTAATAGAGTGCATGATATGAATATATACACACATGGTAATGTACATAGTCATGCATTTCTGACACACTTAAGACTGCAAAAATCCTAAATAATATTTAGAGTGTCGTTGTGTAATTGTTGCTAAACTTCAAAACTGCTTTTGACACATAAATAGTTTGTTTATCTTGCTTCATTCTTGTACAGTTCAGAAATATAATATATATATATATATATTAATATATATATATATATATATATATAATATATATATATATATATATATATATATATATATATATATATATATTATATATATATATTCATATATATATATATATATATATATTAATATATATATATATATATATATATATATATAAACTTCAGAATTCACTACACAGCTTCAGTAGACAACCTTAACAACTCTTTTCAAGATAAAATTCTGAATATTCATTCATCACTGAACTCATTTTTACCATACTGTGATCATTTCTCCATACTGTGATCATTTTCCCATACTGTGATCATTTACTCCCATATGTGATCATTTTCTCTAATACTGTGATCTTTTTTCCCATACTGATATTTCTCCCATACTGATCATTATTCTCCCATACTGTGATCATTTCTCCCATACTGTGATCATTTCTTCCATACTGTGATCTTTTCTCCCATACTGTGATCATTTCTCCCATACTGTGATCATTTCTCCCATACTGTGATCATTTCTCCCCCACCACCTCCATCCTCAAATTCTCCATCATGTGCTGTTTAATTAATATGTTTTTTGTTTAGTTTAGCTAACATTTTTTTTCAAATATAACAAATAAAGATTTAACTTTAGAATATAAAATAATTTCTTTAATATCTCTTTTGAAGTGTTTCCTGGTTATAAAGACACGTAACACAGGGCAAGACTAGTTCAGACGACGTCTCGCTCAGAATGAGTGAAACGTCAAGACAGACTTGATAAAACTTAATTCTGAGATAAATGGGGGATGTGTTGGTTAGTTTTATGGGTTTAAAGCCCATCGATCACATGAGGGTCATTAAACCTGCGTGTAATTTTTTCAACACTAGTCAAGTATATTTGACCCCTTTATTTATACACCCTCCTCCAGGGCATGTAATGTTGTTCTTAGTGTACACACGTTAAGAGATATACACTCCTTGTGTACACACATTAAGAGATGTACACTCCACGTGTACACAAAGAGAGATATACACTCCACGTGTACACACATCAAGAGAATATACTCATACATCAGAACATACACAGAGTATTGTTCTGTATAACGTGTCTTTATACTCCTCTTGTTGCCACGTTTATCAAGGTTATTTCAGATTGTTTCTTCCTTCATGTCTGATGGCAACAATGTTAATCAAAACTTCAGATACATATTTTTTTTACATATTTGCTTGTGACCAAAAATCACAATTAAAAAACACTTCGACCCAATATCACATGACTTCCCAACTAAAATAGAGGAGGATCCAGGAATTACCCAGAGAGCTAACCTTGACAGTACTGAGGGAAGGTTGGTGGTTCAGGCAGCCTTGTCAGTACTAAAGAAAGGATGGTGGTTCAGGCAGCCTTGTCAATACTGAGGGAAGGATGGTGGTTCAGGCAACCTTGCTAGTACTGAGGGAAGGATGGTGGTTCAGGCAGCCTTGTCAGTACTGAGGGAAGGATGGTGGTTCAGGCAGCCTTGTCAGTACTGAGGGAAGGATGGTGGTTCAGGCAGCCTTGTCAGTACTGAGGGAAGGATGGTGGTTCAGGCAGCCTTGTCAATACTGAGGGAAGGATGTAAAGTAAAGGGACACAAGTGCAACTAATGTGATAATTTATTGTGGCAACGTTTCGCTCTCCAGGAGCTTTGTCAAACCGTTACAAACAGTACATGGACACAGAGGGTATATATAGGCTCAGAGTGAGGTGCAATACTAGTGGTAGTAGTAGTGACATAAGTAGTAGTAGTAGTAGTAGTAGTAATACAATATGTTAGAACAATTAACTCGCACACGAGTAAAAGGATATAAAAGCTATTACTTGGGAAACATAAAAATAGGTTATACAAATAATTCTATTGGAGACTGGATAGAGGCAGCCTGTTTCAATGTTCATTCTCTGTAATGTGCTTGTGTAGTATTAACAGGAGAGACTATGTGATGGCAGGGTTTACTGTTTTCAGGAGGATTCTTGCTAAGACTTCAGAGATGGTGAAGCTGCCTTTGTTTTGTTTAATTGTATTAGAAACAGCTATTAGTGAAGATTCTCTAATTCGGTGTACGACACCGAAATTCCACCAATCATCTCCTGAAGTTCAGGGACGCCTAACTAGTGATCAAAGAAACTAATTTCAGCAGACTCAAGTGCTTTGAATCTTCACTAATAGCTGTTTCTAATAACAGTAAACCCTGCCATCATATAGTCTCTCCTGTTAATACTACACAAGCACTTTACAGAGAATGAACATTGAAACAGGCTGCCTCTATCCAGCCTCCAATAGAAATGTTTGTCTAGCCTATTTTCATGTTTCCCAAGTAATAGCTTTCATATCCTTTTACTCATGTGCAAGTTAATTGTTCTAACATATTGTATTACTACTTCTACTACTTATATCACTACTATTACTACTACTACTACTACTACTACTACTACTACTACTACTACTACTACTACTACTACTACTATTACCACCACTGGTATTATACCTCACTCTGAGCCTATGTATACCCTCTGTGTCCATGTACTGTTTGTAACGGCTTGACAAAGCTCCTGGAGAGAGAAACGTTGCCACAGTATAATGTCACATCAGTTGCACTTGTGTCCTTTTACTTTACATATTGTCGGTAATTCTACCAACATTATTACAACCTTGTCAGTACTGAGGGAAGGATGGTGGTTCAGGTAACCTTGTCAGTACTGAGGGAAGGATGGTGATTCAGGCAACCTTGTCAGGACTGAAGGAAGGATGGTGGTTCAGGTAACCTTGTCAGTACTGAGGGAAGGATGGTGGTTCAGGTAACCTTGTCAGTACTGAGGGAAGGATGGTGGTTCAGGTAACCTTGTTAGTACTGAGGGAAGGATGGTGGTTCAGGTAACCTTGTTAGTACTGAGGGAAGGATGGTGGTTTAGGTAACCTTGTCAGTACTGAGGGAAGGATGGTGGTTCAGGTAACCTTGTCAGTACTGAGGGAAGGATGGTGGTTCAGGTAACCTTGTTAGTACTGAGGGAAGGATGGTGGTTCAGGTAACCTTGTTAGTACTGAGGGAAGGATGGTGGTTCAGGTAACCTTGTTAGTACTGAGGGAAGGATGGTGGTTCAGGTAACCTTGTCAGTACTGAGGGAAGGATGGTGATTCAGGCAACCTTGTCAGGACTGAAGGAAGGATGGTGGTTCAGGCAACCTTGTCAGGACTGAAGGAAGGATGGTGATTCAGGCAACCTTGTCAGGACTGAAGGAAGGATGGTGGTTCAGGTAACCTTGTCAGTACTGAGGGAAGGATGGTGGTTCAGGTAACCTTGTTAGTACTGAGGGAAGGATGGTGGTTCAGGTAACCTTGTCAGTACTGAGGGAAGGATGGTGGTTCAGGTAACCTTGTCAGTACTGAGTGAAGGATGGTGGTTCAGGTAACCTTGTTAGTACTGAGGGAAGGATGGTGGTTCAGGTAACCTTGTTAGTACTGAGGAAGGAGGGGTTCAGGTAACCTTGTCAGTACTGAGGGAAGGATGGTGGTTCAGGTAACCTTGTCAGTACTGAGGGAAGGATGGTGGTTCAGGTAACCTTGTCAGTACTGAGGGAAGGATGGTGGTTCAGGTAACCTTGTCAGTACTGAGGGAAGGATGGTGGTTCAGGCAGCCTTGTCAGTATTGAGGAGAGGATGGTGGTTCAGGCAACCTTGTCAGTACTGAGGAGAGGATGGTGGTTCAGGCAGCCTTGTCAGTATTGAGGAGAGGATGTGGTTTCAGGCAACCTTGTCAGTACTGAGGAGAGGATGGTGGTTCAGGCAGCCTTGTCAGTATTGAGGAGAGGATGGTGGTTCAGGCAACCTTGTCAGTACTGAGGAGAGGATGGTGGTTCAGGTAGCCTTGTCAGTATTGAGGAGAGGATGGTGGTTCAGGCAACCTTGTCAGTACTGAGGAGAGGATGGTGGTTCAGGCAGCCTTGTCAGTACTGAGAGAGGATGGTGGTTCAGGCAGCCTTGTCAGTACTGAGGAGAGGATGGTGGTTCAGGCAGCCTTGTCAATACTGAGGAGAGGATGGTGGTTCAGGCAGCTTTGTCAGTACTGAGGAGAGGATGGTGGTTCAGGCAGCCTTGTCAGTACTGAGGAGAGGATGGTGGTTCAGGTAGCCTTGTCAGTACTGAGGAGAGGATGGTGTTCAGACAGTATTGTCAGTATGAGGAGAGGATGGTGGTTCAGGCAGCCTTGTCAGTACTGAGGAGAGGATGGTGGTTCAGGCAGCCTTGTCAGTACTAAGGAGAGGATGGTGGTTCAGGCAGCCTTGTCAGTACTGAGGAGAGGATGGTGGTTCAGGCAGCCTTGTCAGTACTGAGGAGAGGATGGTGGTTCAGGCAGCCTTGTCAGTACTGAGGAGGGATGGTGGTTCAGGCAGCCTTGTCAGTACTGAGGAGAGGATGATGGTTCAGGCAGCCTTGTCAATACTGAGGAGAGGATGGTGGTTCAGGCAGCCTTGTCAGTACTGAGAGAGGATGGTGGTTCAGGCAGCCTTGTCAGTACTGAGGAGAGGATGGTGGTTCAGGCAGCCTTGTCAGTACTGAGGAGAGGATGATGGTTCAGGCAGCCTTGTCAATACTGAGGAGAGGATGGTGGTTCAGGCAGCTTTGTCAGTACTGAGGAGAGGATGGTGGTTCAGGCAGCCTTGTCAGTACTGAGGAGAGGATGGTGGTTCAGACAGTATTGTCAGTACTGAGGAGAGGATGGTGGTTCAGGCAGCCTTGTCAGTACTGAGGAGAGGATGGTGGTTCAGACAGTATTGTCAGTACTGAGGAGAGGATGGTGGTTCAGACAGTATTGTCAGTACTGAGGAGAGGATGGTGGTTCAGGTAGCCTTGTCAGTACTGAGGAGAGGATGGTGGTTCAGGTAGCTTTGTCAGTACTGAGGAGAGGATGGTGGTTCAGACAGTATTGTCAGTACTGAGGAGAGGATGGTGGTTCAGGCAGCCTTGTCAGTACTGAGGAGAGGATGGTGGTTCAGGCAGCCTTGTCAGTACTGAGGAGAGGATGGTGGTTCAGGCAGCCTTGTCAGTACTGAGGAGAGGATGGTGGTTCAGGCAGCCTTGTCAGTACTGAGGAGAGGATGGTGGTTCAGGCAGCCTTGTCAGTACTGAGGAGAGGATGGTGGTTCAGGCAGCCTTGTCAGTACTGAGGAGAGGATGATGGTTCAGGTAGCCTTGTCAGTACTGAGGAGAGGATGATGGTTCAGGCAGCCTTGTCAGTACTGAGGAGAGGATAGCGAAGATATGATAGCTTCCCGGAGACTCAATTTTATATGAATTTCTTGAGTTATAATTGTCACGAAATATTAATCTTTATAGAAATAGTAACAATTTAACAATTAACAACAGTTAATACAAATTATTATTTGTTTTTTTTTTTTTTTTTGCAAAAAAAAAGAAAGAAGTCTTTTACACTGGCCCAGAAGGTTAGGGTACGGCTCCTGGGTAACGATTCTGGTTCCGCCTCTCTCAAGAATCCATGTCAGACGACACCGTGATATACGGTCCATATCGTAATTATTATTTTCTCTAACATTCTTCACTGGAAGTGTCACATTGTGATGCTAACTTATCTTTATGAATAAAAAAATATAATGTTTAACAAGTTTAAAATGTTGTTTAATTTTCATTGGATTGTATGTTCGTATCTAATAAAATTAATATTTATTCACTCATTAATTCATTAAATTTTATTACGCACTTGAACACAGTGGACATTGTAACAGGTGTCTCTCAGACGCCTGAGAAACACTGGACAATGTCTCAGTTCTCTCAGACGCCAGAGAAACACTGGACAATGTCTAATTTCTCTCAGACGCGAGACACACACTGGACAATGTCTCATTTCTCTTAGACGTGAGAGAAACACTGGACAATGTCTCAGGTTCTCTCAGACGCCAGAGAAACACTGTAAGATGCATTGTTTATATTCGCAGAACGCGGGAAAGGGCGCAAGAAGGCGGCAGCGGAGGATCTGAACGATAAGACGATGATGTCTCAAGTTTCCCTCTCAGACGCCCCTTTACCAGAGTGCCACGAGCTACCTGAAGTATTCCCAGAGAAGTGAACTCAGTCCAACAAGAACACAGGTGCTCGAAAAATTAAGTGAACTGAGCGAGGAGGATAAAATATATGAAAGGAACAGTGATACCTTCAGTCAAAAAAAAAAGTCCAGTGAAAAAATAAAACAGTGAAAGTGAGAACCAATTTGTAACTGACGATATATTTCGGAATAACTTATGGTGGTAATGCAGTGTAGCAGTGTGACAGAGTTAAATGAAGAGAGACAACTCACTTATCTACATCAAGCATAAAATGTGAGTTTATCCTTCAGTGGATGACTTCCTCAGCAGCAGTTCATGTTAACTTCTTCAAAGTTCATTGAATATATATATATATATATATATATATATATATATATATATATAATATATATATATATATATATATATATATATATTATAGTACAGTGGAACATCTGGTCACTACCATAATTCATTCCAGAACTCTGGTCGCGACCCGATTTATTCGTGACCCGAACTTAATTTCCCTATTTAATTGCATGTAAATACAATTATTCTGTTCCAGACCCCTACGAACTGTATGTAAATATTGTTTTTTTTTTTTTTTAAGGTTTTTAAGCACAAAAATAGTTAATTATACCATAGAATGCACAGTGTAATAGTAAACTAAATGTAAAAGCCTTGAATAATACCAAGAAAACCTTGAAACAACAGAGGAAACTAACAGAGCATGAGTCAGTTCTAGACCCCTATGAACCGTACCGTTCGCTGTAAATAGTTTTTTTTTTTAAGTGTTTTAAGGGATGTCTAATGGCTGAGAAGTGAACTCGCTTATTAATCGTCTGATTTCTTTCATTTTTGGAGTACGTTAAGAAGCATCTTTCCATCATAAATTACCCAAGTTTCAATAAGATAGCCCAACAAACAACTGAGAAAAAATATTTACCAAAAATCATATATGGCAAGCCCCAGCCAGGTCCTGGCATTAAATTAAATTCAAAAACACACGGAATACAACACAAGTTCACAGCGAATGAACGCACGTCTGACCAAGACCGACTACAAGGCGAGGGACTTTGTTAGGTGTGCAAAAACAACAGGAAGTGAGGAAAATTGGCATGTGCAAAAAAATTGCATGGGATGTGAAAATTGGCGCGGCTGTGTTTGTTCGGCACCCGATTATGTGTTAGTGACCAGATGCAAAAATTTGGTGATTTTTTTTTTTGTCTTGAACCGATTTGTTCGTGTTCAGAAGTGTTCGTGACCAGAGGCTCCACTGAATATATGTATGTATACATCAATAACAACACTGCGACTAGCCGGGGGATCGAATCCATATTGTTGTAGCCTGCCTCATGGTGACCGAAAATTCATGACGTTCTAAACCACTGGCCCATACACTGCTACAAACAACTTGAGCCTAGCGAACTAGGTTTGCTTCATGTTGCGAGAACATACGATGGTATGGTTGCCTTAGAGCTAATTTCATTCTACTTCCCGTTTGGTGTACTAGCCTCCAGAAGCAGTATATATAGTATTGTAACCACGAACAAATGGTATTTAATCCAGTGGTCCAGTGGGTTAGAGCATCGTGAATTTTCGCTCACCATGAGGCGGGCTAAAACAACACGGGTTCGATCCCTCGGCTAGTCGCAGTGTTGTTATTGATTAAATATCACTTGTTCGTGGTTACAATACTGTATGTATATATATATATATATATATATATTATATATATATATATATATATATATATATATATATATATATATATATATATGTCGTGCCGAATATGTAAAACTGGTCAATTAGCAAGAACTCATTTAAAATTAAGTCCTTTCTAAAATTTTCTCTTATACGTTTAAAGATATATTTTTTTTCATTAATGTTATTGTAAAAAATTTTAATTTTGCTCCAAAAGAATCTTAGAAAACTTATCTAACCTTATAACAAGAACAATTTATTTTTGCCTAACCCAACTAAATATATTATAGATTTGTTTACAATAATTTAATACTAAACAAACAGAGTGAAATATATTTTTTCCGTTAGGTTCAGAATGATTTTGGCGAAATTAATGCATACACAAATTTTCGCTTGTCCTATATGGCAAGATGAGCGTTGCTATTTAAGCCAAGATGGCAAGTTCTACCTATTCGGCACGACATATATATATATATATATATATATATATATATATATATATATATATATATATATATATATATATATATATATATAAACAAAAGTCCATGTGATATGGACTAATGATACTGGGTGCAATTAATAGTGGCTAAGTGTTAGGTTTCCACGGTGGAACCTACATGGTGAGGGACGCATCTTTCACTGTATGCATACATGTATACTGGGAGGTAGTATGTATACCTCACTGCATATTCGCTGAGAATTTGTATCTCTCACTGTATAAATTCCGATAGGTATAGGCATGTATTCCGCACTGCATATCCAACATGACGTATGTATCTCCCATCGAATATATTCCGATATGCATAGGTATGAATCTCTCACTTCATACACTGTATATACACCGAAAGGAATGCATCTTTGTATATACACTGAGTGTTTAGCCTTAAGATCACACGTTATTCACTGTTAGGTATGTGTGTATCTTGGTGTAGATGCAGCAAGAACTATGCATACCTCAGTGTATATAAGCGGAGACGTGTTCATCTTTCATTGTGTATATACCATGAGGCAGGTATATATACCGGGAAGTGTGAATTTCTCATTGTATATACGTTGAAGGTTCACTTTGATTTGTATTTTGAAGGTTCGGTTATTCTTGACTGGTGATGAACGGGTTACAGTCAGCCTTAACGACCCTCGTGTAGTACGTAATGACCCTCGTGTGGTACATAACGATCCTCGTGTAGTACATGAGCCTTGTGTAGTACATGAGCCTCGTGTAATACATAATGACCCTCATGTAGTACATAACCCTTGTGTAGTACATAACGACCCTCGTGTACTACATAACGACCCTTGTGTAGTACATAATGACCCTCGTGTAGTACACAACCCTCGTGTAGTACATAATGACCCTCTTGTGGCTCATAATGACCCCCATGTAGTGCATAATGACTTTCGTATAGTACATAACGACCCTCGGGTGGCGCATAGCGACCCTCGTGTAGTACATAATGACCCTCGGGTAGTATAAAATTACCCTCTTGTGTTACATAATGCCCTTCGTGCAGTACATAATGACCCTCTTGTACATAACCCTCATGTAGCACATAATGCCCCTCCTGTAGTACATAACCCTCTTATAGTACATAATGACCCTCGTGGAGCACATAACGACCCTCACTCGGTACAAAATGACCCTCGTAGGGTGCATAACAACCCTCATATTGTACATAACGACCCTCGTATGATACCTAACGGCCCTCGTATAGTACATAATGACCCTCGTGTGATACATTACGATTCACTACAGTGTCTTCATAATTTTATCCCAAATTAAAACAGGAAATATAACAAGATAATTGTCATAGATTATGTTGCCAATCTAAGACAGTTGTAGCTAAGTGAAGTCTAAGATAATACCAAGCCTTATTAGGTAATACCAAGCTTTGTTAGATAATACCAAGCTTTATTAGGTAATACCAACGTTTGTTAGGTAATACCAAGCTTCGCTAGGTAATACCAAGCTTTATTAGGTAAAACCAAGCTTTGTTAGGTAATATCAAGCTTTGTTAAGTATTCCCAACTCTGTTAGGTAATACCAAGCTTTGTTATGCAATACCAAGCTTTGTTAGGTATTCCCAACTTTGTTAGGCAATACCAAGCTTTGTTAGGTAATACCAACCTTTGTTAGGTATTCCCAACTTTGGTTTAGAAAGACACGTAAGCAAACACTATAACATATTAGAAAACGTTTCGGTCCTGGGACCTTGATCACTTCTAACATACAGAGGTAGAAAGACATTATATATATAGGCGGAGAGTGAGATGTGACGCACGTGACCTGAGGAATGTCATAAGAACATAAGAGTGGAGGAACACTGTAGAAGGCATACTGGCCCAAGCGAGGCAGGTCCTTATCAAAACAACCTCTACCTATGATGAGGACGGGTAGACGATGAAATCATGTGACTCTTGTGTTGTTGAGTTGGTGCTGCTGAAGTATCATGTATGCCAATGTTTTTGAAATTTTGTAGTTTCCAGTGTTGCGTTCTATAGTGTCGGTGACGGCGATTAGTGAGGCTTCTAGGCACCGTCGGCGTCTAAGGTCTGGTTCGGTGAGAACGAGTTGTGCCTCGTTCCAGTTCATCAAATGCCCCGTGGAGTCTCTGTGGAGGACACAGGCGTACCTTACATCGTCTCTGTTAGAGGCATTTCGATGCTCATTCAGGCGGACTGCAAGATCTCTGCCTGTCTCGCCTACATATTTCTTGGGACAGAACCCACAGGGGATAGTGTAGACGCCTGCTGTAGAAGTTAGAGGTGTGGGGCTGCGTTTCGTAGTGAGGTCTTTGATAGATGATGTGTTTATGGTGGAAACGTTGATGTTACTCATAGCAAGTGCCCGGCGAGTATTCGTGGCAACATCGCCACATGGGAGCACTATGAACTGTTTAGGGGGCTGTTCCATGTGCGGTTTGTTGAGGATAGCTTGTGCCTTGAGTCTGCAATCTCGGATGAAGAAAGATGGGAACTGAAGACGTGTAAAGGCTTGTGTTATGTTCTTATGACATTCCTCAGGTCACGTGCGTCACATCTCACTCTCCGCCTATATATATAATGTCTTTCTACCTCTGTATGTTAGAAGTGATCAAGGTCCCAGGACCGAAACGTTTTCTAATAAATATGTTATAGTGTTTGCTTACGTTTCTTTCTAAACCAACTTATCGGTATTTATTACCAAGGTTTATACCATTCCCAACTTTGTTAGATAATACCAAGCTTTGTTATGTAATACCAAGCTTTGTTAGGTATTCCCAGCTCTATTAGGTAATACCAACCTAATTTTTTTATGTAACACCAAGGTTTAATTGGTAATACCAAGCTTTGTTAGGTAATACCAA